GATGAACAAGGAGGAAAACAAAACTAGAACTAAACCCATACTTGTCACTCTCTCTGAGGCAAGCTGCAGGCTAAACACTATAACTAAAAACTTCCAGAAACACATTTTAAACATGTCTGTGCCGGAAGGCTCCCAGTTCCTATGACAGGATATATTTTAAATTCCTTTACAATAATAGACATGCAAAAACACACACAAAAATACAAACTATGTAATTAAGCAATAGAATTACTCAAACAGGTATTTACAGGTATATGAGCAAAATACTTATACACACAATAGAAAGGCATCAACTTTAGTACAACTAAATTGGAGAAATAACACAGGATAATATTATTTAGATCACCCAGAACGCCAATGAGTGTCTGCGCTTTGAGTCCGCGGACCGCAGGTTGACCCGTGCCTGAATGGTGAACTTACTTGTTCCCAAGCTCGGGAGTTTTTCTTCGCTGGGTCGCAGAGTTCAAACCGCAGCTCACAGTCCTACCGAAACTCTGGTCAATGAACTGCTGGGCTTGATCAGGTGAATCGAAGGTGAGCCAGTCGTCTCCATGCATCACGCGCAGCTGGGCTGGATATAACAGGCGAAATCTAACGTTCTTCTGATACAGCGCTTGCTTGACGGCGTTAAACGCGGCTCTCTTCTTTGCGAGCAAAGCGCTGATATCCTGATAGATCCTAATAGTGGCACCTTGGTACTGGAGCTGATGGTTCCTGGCCCAGCGCAGAGCCGCTTCTTTCTGCTGGAATCTGGAGAAGCAGACCAGGTACGCGCGGGGGGGGGTGGGGGGGGGGGGGGGGGGGGGGGGGTTCTGGTTGGTTCTGGAAGTTGGGGTTCGGTGAGCTCTCTCCAGGTCAGGAGGAAACACTTCAGAACCCATCATTTCCACCAAGACGTCTGAGATGAACTTTATAGGGTCTTTACCATCTTCGCTGCTTTCGGGAACATTCAGTATGCGGAGGTTAGCTCTCCGTGACCAGTTCTCCAAGTTGTCGCATGAATCTGCCAGCGACTGGTTCTGGATCTGAAGTACCTTGATAGTGGCCTCTGCAACGGTAAGCCATTCAAAGTTATCCCCAGCAACAGACTCCACAGAGGTAAGACGTTTCTGGAACAAGCTCACCGTTGTTTGCAGCGACTCTAATGAGTCTTGGATCGGTCTGATGGCGTCTCGAATCAGGGTGGAAACGTCCTCCTTGAGAGAAGTTCTTTGTTTAGCTAATTCGACGGATAGTTGGTCCATAGCCACCATTACAACCGGAGGGTTTTCAGGACCTGGAGGGCCGTCAGCTGAAGTCGGTGCATTGTTAGCTGCAAAGGATGCTAGCTTGCTTGCAGCACGTGTAGCCGGAGTTTGTTTCGCTTGCTTAGACATGCTCAATATTTTCAAAGTTAGTAAAATTGACTTACACAGCCAGTTGCGTCGCAGTGTGCGCAACAAGTTTGTTCTAAAAAGATAGGTTTATGATGTGAACCGGGAGCCTTTGCTCATGCGTCCTCCCTCTACTTGACACCGGAAGTCTCTACGTCTGTTTTTCTATCATAGTGAGGACCCACCATTGACTTCCATTCATTTTTGTGATTCTACTTTGCCTAACCCATACACATGCCATAACCATAACCAGTGCTGATCTGTTCCTAACCCTAACCTTAACTAAATCTTAATTCACACCATACCTCTAAATGGTATAGTGAGCTTCTGGTGTACAAGAACACACACACACACACACACACACACACACACACACACACACACACACACACACACACACGCACAAAGCTTTGGTGCTTGTCAGGATGCATTTTGGTGGATTCTAGTCTATGTTTTACGATTTACTTCTGACAGTGGTGTCCACTTTAATCTAGAGATGGGTGACCTTGACTTTGGAGATGACCTCTAATCTCTTAGGAAGTGGCTATTGCGTTAGCTCCTTCGGCCCACACGTGAAGTTTTTTATAACAACTATAAACCCTTCACAACCAAAGGAATGCAGAAAACTGCCGCAGGAAAGCCTCTCTGCTCAACAATAGTTGTTAATTACCTTCTGTGCTTATTTTTTCCTGCTTTTTTGTTGCATTTTTAATGTTCAGGATTTTCCAAACATGTATCCACGTTAATCAAAGTGAAACTCCACAAACTAATAATTCTTTCTTTACTTGTTAATGTGTCCAAACTGTTGGTGCTCTGCTGTTCAGAGGTCGACAGCCCAGGGGACGGCTGCTAATGACAACAATCTGATTAGTTCTACCGCTCCTGTGCTGGATTACATTAGAACAATAAAAGAGAAGGTCAGGGTGGCGGTGGGGTGAGGGCTTCAGGCTAATGCAGTTACATGTGTCAGTGTGGCTGTTTCTGTTTTCATCAGCATCTTTGGCTGCTTTGTATCTGTTCTCAACACCTGAGATCAGCAGACTGACATTAGAAGTGAAGCAGTACCAAGCCATCATGGAGCCTAGGGCAGGTGCTGGTCCAGGACTACCTCAGTCACAGGTGGCTGCGACTGAATGAGAGCACACATAAACCCAGCAGGAAGACAAGTTGAAAACATGAAGCTAACTGTTTGTGAAACCCTTTGAGCTCCGCCCATACGGGTAGACACAGGAGAGTCTCAGGCAGGACACATCAGAAACATGAAGACAATGTCCTTGCAGGCTGCAAATCAGTATTCCTTTAGCAGCAGGTATTGTATTTGCATTTGCATATTTTACTCTCATTGTTAAACATGGTAGACAAAAAGATCCCACTTGTATTCGCAAAAAAACCTGTAATCAGATTACTGTATTTATTTTAAAGCCTTACTCATCAGAGACACTGAAATCAAGTAAAGTAATTAGAAAAACAAATCCTGTGATGCAATGACGAGAGAATGCCAAGCTCCCCTAGGCACCACCAATCGGGCGGCTCCAGAAATGTTTTTCTGCAGGTGCTACGAAGGAGCCAGTCTTTGTATTGAGGGTGCTATGAAGGAAGTGGTCACGCGTACCTATTGTTCTCTAAAACACCTTCAACACTAGCAGATACACATGCGTGCACAACACCTCAACAACACCTGAAACAATCATTAATATACTTCATAAACATATGAACAATCGCTGACTTTTCCATGAAATCATAAACACATACAGCCACACAGAAAACCATCTATAGTGTTGCATGCTTAGCTAACGTTAGTGTTAGCATTTCCAGCGGCTAAACCCTCAACTGCTGCGGCGATTGAGGGTTGGCTCTCTTCATCCAGATCCGTAGGTTTTTGTGGGTCTGAGATCACTTCCAAAGATTCATTCGTTTCTGAGTGAACCCGTGGAAATGTGGGCAACAAAAACCGATCCATTTTACCACTACCTTTCAATCGTTCATAGGTGGAAAATGAGGTCAAAGATTAACATCAATTTCCTGTTTTGGTTTAAGTTTTTACTATCTATATGATAATTTACTGATTATTTTTGTTTTGTACGTTAAATATTATCACATCCACACGTTACATTAAAATTAAATTGAAAAAAAAAATTCTAATATTTACTTGGGGGTGCTATGACTAATGCAGGGGTAGCTATAGCGCCCCCTGGTGCCGCCACTGCAACCAGTCACTACCAGAAAAGCCAGGACATGTTGATAACGGATAAACACATACTCCCTTGAAGAAAATGAGAACACGAAGTTTCCAACTATTATTTACCTGTGTTGTGTCATGGTCTGCGTCTGCCCCTTCCTTCATGTGTCTCCTGATGTTTCTCCATCCTCTCTAGATTCCCTTCTGTGTCTCTTAGCGCCCTCATGTGTCCTTTGTCTGCATCTCAATTATGTGTCTTATGTTTGTAGCCCTTTAAAGTCTATTCCTCCCAGGTCCTGTGTCATTCATTCATCCCCAGCCCTCCAGGTCTTCCTTCACGTTCTGTAGCTCTAGCCTCTTTGTCCCCAGCTCGGTGTGTGTGTGTGCCATTTCCCTGCTCAGTGTTTGTGTGTGTGTGTGTGCGTGTGTGTGTGCGTGTGTGTGTGTGTGTGTGTGCGTGTGTGTGTGTGTGTGTGTGTGTGTGTGTGTGTGTCCATTCCCCAGTTCATGGTACGTGTGTATGAGTTTGTGTGTGTCAGTATGTGTCTGTGTGAGTCCTTCCCTCAGTCTTAGGTTTAGTTTTATATTTAGGTTTATCTGCCCTCCATTGGTTCTGTTTCCCCCGTTTAGATCATTTGTGTCACCTGCCTTCCCTCCAGCCCTCACTCCACACACCTGCTTCCTGTTTCCTTAATTGTTCTCCCTGTGTATTTAAGCCCTGTCTTGTCTCTGTTTGGTGTTGGTCCATTGTGGTAATTCTGTCAGTCTCTGTTCATGATCTCTAGTGTTACTTGTGCTTCTCGTGTCTCAGTGTTTTGATCTCTAGTTTTTTTGGGGTATTTGGACATCTTTGGACTTTGGCTCCCAGCCTTGGATTTATTCTTTTGTTTTATCCTTCAAAATAAAGGACTTTTTCTTTATATCATCACCTGCCTCATGTCATCCTGGGTTCCTGCATTTTGGGTCCTACAAACCTCGTATCGTGACATGTTGTTTTAGGTGTCTTTGACTTTTCTTTTTACTGTCAACTACTGTTAATGAATACCAGCTGCAAAGGGTCCTCTGGTACAATATTAGGGGTATAATAGTTTTCCCAACTATCACACAAACAGATGCAGTCTGAGTTTGATTCAGGCCTCATGGTTAACTAATAAAACTTCAGGTAAACCAGACGGAAGCCAGTTTAGTGCAGTTCCAGTCCCAGTATCATGTTCAAGCTATTGGAACAGCATGCTATGGTCAGCAGGATTAAATGATGCGATGAGATCTAACAAACCAGTAGCTATAAACTCCAGTTTGCTGTGCTGAACTCTAAATCCAGACTAAGGGATACTTTGTGGGTAAGGACGCACACACAGCGGCTCTTTGATCTGCGTTTGTTCTACAGTGAAAACATGCAGCAGAGTTCAGCCTGTGCAATGTTCTGATGAAGGTCTGCGTCTTTTCAGCCATCCTGGTCTACAGAGTATTTCGTAATGAGGCGAAGAGAAACGTGAAGCTGCTTCATGGCATCATTCACCTTTTGGCCCTCATCATCAGCATTGTTGGTGAGACAAAGCGCTAGAGGATCACCTGATCCTAATCTGACCCGTGGCGATCTTCTCACACACCTGAAGCTGTGTTTGTGTATTGTTGTGTGTGTGTAGGGGTGGTAGCGGTCTTTGACTTCCACAGAGCCAATCAGATCCCAGATGTGTATTCTCTGCACAGTTGGCTTGGCCTGGCCACCTTGGTTCTGTTTTGCCTCCAGGTAAACTCCCATTTTCATGCGTTTCAACCACAGCAGCGCTTCAGCGATCAAAACTCTGACCTGTGTTTCTTCTAGTGGGTGATGGGTCTGATGTTCTTCCTGTTTCCTGTTGCCTCATCATGGGTACGAGCCATGTACCTCCCTGTCCATGTGTTCTGTGGCCTGGCCCTGCTGGTCATGGCCATCAGCACCAGCCTGCTTGGTATCTCAGAGAAACTTCTCTTCAGCATCATGTAGGTCTCAAGTTTCATTGTTTTGTTTTTGTTTGTTGTTTGCAGAATTTTGCATTCATTGTTCTTTTGATCAGAATGTGAAAACAAACTATCTAAACAAGACATCAGGATGTTTGTTGCGGAGTCCTTTTTATCATTTCAAAGACCTGGAAGTTGCCTTTTTCGGCTGATCCAAGCCCAACTTTTGTGTTTCACTCCCAACAGCATCCCTGCCTGATGAAATGATGAGTGGAATAAGTAAAAACATCAGAAAACAGGAAGCATGTCAGTGTGGTAAACACAACGCCGCTATTTGGGCTGCGTGGTGGCGCAGTTGTTAGCACTGTTGCCTCGCAGCAGGAAGGTTGTAGGTTTGAAACTCGGCTGTGGTCTTTCTGTGTGGAGTTGCATGTTCTCCTCCAAAGCATTAACATGAACCCATGAGCAATACAATAGTAAAAAGTTTGATAGTTTGAAACTCAGTAGTTCCTCCAGGAGGCTGCAAATGCTGAAACCTGACGAGGTTTGCAGGAAACACACGGCTGTTCAGATACAATCAGGATGTATCAAGTACTAATGGTAGTATTGGTAGAGGTTGACTCTAATCCACTGTATTTTTGACCAACGTAGTAGTAATCAACAAGAGTATGTGGTAAAAAGACCACTGAGTAATGTTTGGTTATAACAGCTGATTTCATTTGTTAAAAAAGATGCAACCAGATAAATGAACATGTAAAGAGCATTTTTGTGTTTTAAAGAACAAAACAACAGGTAAGAAAAACTAAACAATAAACGATGTCCACCACAGAGATTATTCAGATTTTATTGTGAAAATCTGCGTCAGTCCACTTCACAGATGTGCTACTGTGTGTTGGTCCATCACACAAAATACCAGTTAAACATTTAACACATTAACATATAAAACAAAGAAATATATGTTTACATTGCACCTCTCAAGATAAAAGTCAGGAGGCGCTTCAGAAGAACAAAGACTAAAAATAAAACATGATTTGAAAAATGTTTTAAAAAAATTAGGAAGAAGGAAAAATAACCCTCCCACTGTCTTCATGGGTGTGACCCCGCGAGGAAAGTGTACCATTGAGCAGGATTGATGGTTTATCCCTTGGATCCATGTGGCAGGAGTGAGGAGTGAGCACCACCTCACCCCTGCCATGTGGACCTCAAGGGATAAACCATCAGCCCTGCTCAATGGTACACTTTCCTCGCAGGGTCACACCCATGAAGACAGTGGGAGGGTTAAGGAAGAAAACAAAAAGAGATGTCGTTCAAATACCCTCTTGCATGTTTTCCTCCATATGTATACTTTATAAAACTTTCTAAGTTCTGCCTTAGTATTCTGCCTGAGTATTTCTCTTGCACTATCCTATTGTATACTACTGTACACTATTTTTACTGTATATATCGTATATCTGTTTTTCACCTGTTCCTTTGTCTCTCCTACTGCTTTGAGCATGTACATGACACAACAATTTCCCTCGGGATAAATAAAGTTGTTCTTATCTTATCTTATCAGTGATTGTATTTGTGTTTTCTTCTTCCAAGGTCAACATACTCTCAGTTCGCCCCTGAAGGGGTGCTAGCCAACACCTTGGGGATCCTCCTGGTCTTCTATGGAGGGCTGCTGTGTCACCTGGTCACCAGAGAGGAATACAAACGTCCTCCAAACCCCGAAGAAGAGTCTCTGTCAGTCCACTTTAAGACTCTGGCAGAAGGAGGGTCACCTGCCTCACCCTGACCCAGTGTGGATGCAGCATTCACTGGAGCCTTTCTGCCTTGTGTTTATGACTTAACAGCCACTCCCGAATACGTTTACCGTAAGCGTTGATCCTGCAGAAACCAGTCTAGTAACAGACCATCTACTGGTCTCCTGGTTGGTCAGTTTCAGTTTCATGGGAACTGTCAGCCTCCAGTCTACAATCAATTTATAGAATTCCTGGAGTGGATTCACCTCTTTTACCCTAAAGCTACAGCTTGGTTAGATCTGTGAGTAGATCCAGCTGCCGAACCTGAGAAGTTAAAGGTGAAGGAAACATCTCTTGCTTTAAACAGCATCAGTTTTTTAGAGTGAGATGATGGTAAAGAAATTTAAAAAAAATCTTTGAAGAAAAGTTGATAGAGCACACAAACCATATTTGACTGGTCTGATTTTGTTTTATTATTTAGTAATTATCATGTGGAAGCTAGTGGTGAAGTTCATGTTTTCAAGGGAAAACCCCAAGGTTCTGATCTCTACCTAAGCAGCCTTAAACCCAACCTGGAGGTTTGGGCTCCATGCCTGACAGCTCTGTCCGCTTACGTTTGACTTCACAACATTGTTGACGTTACTCCAGTAAAGTCTGTAAAGTGAGTTCAGTGTAAGATGTTTAAAAGTAGATGTCAGTCATGCAAAAATAGCCAAGCATGGTTTCAGATGGATTACCATAAAGAGTTGTGTTTGATGTGCTTTTGTTTGAGTTCATGCCTCCTCATTAGTGCCTAACAGACCTTCATCATTTCTATGTTGCTGGATGTATTTGTCTTAATCTGCTTCTTTACTGTGTAAAACTCCTAATAAATGGTGCCAACCAGCTTCTCCTTTTTCATTTTATCTGAAGGCTCTACCTAACAGAAGCCTAGCCCTATAATGGTAACGGACTGAACTCATCACCATGGTAACAGAGGCCTAGCTCTATAATGGTAAAGGACTGATCTCATCACCATGGTAACAGAGGCCTAGCCCTATAATGGTAACGGACTGAACTCATCACCATGGTAACAGAGGCCTAGCTCTATAATGGTAAAGGACTGATCTCATCACCATGGTAACAGAGGCCTAGCCCTATAATGGTAGCGGACTGATCTCATCACCATGGTAACAGAGGCCTAGCCCTGTAATGGTAAAGGGCCGAACTTATCACCATGGTAACAGAGGCCTAGCTCTATAATGGTAAAGGGCTGAACTCATCACCATGGTAACAGAGGCCTAGCCCTATAATGGTAACGGACTGATCTCATCACCATGGTAACAGAGGCCTAGCCCTATAATGGTAACGGACTGATTTCATCACCATGGTAACAAAGGCCTAGCCCTATAATGGTAAAGGGCTGAACTTATCACCATGGTAACAGAGGCCTAGCCCTATAATGGTAACGGACTGAACTCATCACCATGGTAACAGAGGCCTAGCTCTATAATGGTAAAGGGCTGAACTCATCACCATGGTAACAGAGGCCTAGCCCTATAATGGTAACGGACTGATCTCATCACCATGGTAACAGAGGCCTAGCCCTATAATGGTAAAGGGCTGAACTTATCACCATGGTAACAGAGGCCTAGCCCTATAATGGTAACGGACTGAACTCATCACCATGGTAACAGAGGCCTAGCCCTATAATGGTAACGGACTGAACTCATCACCATGGTAACAGAGGCCTAGCTCTATAATGGTAAAGGGCTGAACTCATCACCATGGTAACAGAGACCTAAACCTATAATGGCAACGGACTGAACTCATCACCATGGTAACAGAGGCCTAGCCCTATATTGGTAACGGACTGAACTCATCACCATGGTAACAGAGGCCTAGCCCTATAATGGTAACAGACTGGACTCATCACCATGGTAACAGAGACCTAGCCCTATAATGGTAACAGACTGAACTCATCACCATGGTAACAGAGGCCTAGCTCTATAATGGTAACTGTTTTCATTTCAACCCAGTGTGAATTTGAGTTTGACACCCCTGTTCTAAGCTTTAAACTTGTATTTTAGACTCAATCCCAACCAAATTATTTAAAGATGCTTTTCCTTTGGTTACTGCCCCCATTCTAGATGTAATCAATCTATCCTTAGTAAATGGATCCGTACCACAGGATTTTAAGGTTGTTGTAATCAAACCTTTACTTAAGAAACCTTCTCTGGATCCAGATGACCCAATGAATTATAGACCAATAGATAACCTTCCATTTTTATCCAAAGTCCTGGAGAAAATAATGGCCAATCAGCATCTAAACACTAATGATCTGTTTGAGGAATTTCAGTCTGGTTTTAGAGAGTATCACAGCACTGAAACTGCATTAGTGACAGTTAGAAATGATATTCTCATGGCCTCAGATAAGAATCTTGTGTCTGTTCTAGTCTTGTTAGATCTCAGTGCTGCTTTTGACACAGTAGATCACAATGTTCTTGTAGAAAGACTTGAACATGTTGTAGGGATCAAAGGAACAGTATTAGGCTGGTTTAAATCCTACCTGTCTGACAGATTTCATTTTGTAAATGTACATGACAAATCTTCTTCAAACTCCAGGTTTACTTGTGGAGTACCACAGGGTTCAGTGCTTGGACCTATTCTTTTTACTATATATATGCTCCCAATTGGTAAAATCATTAGACAGCATGGGATAATCTTCCACTGTTATGCTGACGATACTCAGTTATATTTATCCATTAACCATGATGAACCTAATCGGTTAGTTAGATTACAGGCTTGTCTTGAGGACATAAAAAATTAAATGACTCTAAACTTTTTGCTTTTAAATCAAGACAAGACGGAAGTTCTCATCTTTGGACCAGAAATCCAGATAAGGAAATTGCTTAATCAAGCACCTGACCTGAATGGCATTAATTTAGTCTCCGAGAACAAAGTAAGGAACTTTGGTGTTATCTTTGACCAGGACATGTCATTCAAATCCCAGGTTAATCAGGTTTGTAGGATTTCCTTTTTCCACCTTCGGAATATTGCTAAGATTAGAAGCATCCTTTCCAGGAGTGATGCTGAAAAACTAGTTAATGCATTTATTACATCACGACTGGATTACTGTAATTCATTACTCTCAGGAAGTCCACAGAATGTAGTTAAAAGTCTTCAGCTTGTCCAAAATGCTGCAGCTAGAGTTCTGATGAGAATTAAAAAGAGAGATCATATCTCTCCTGTCTTAGCTTCCCTACATTGGCTACCTGTTAAATTCAGAATAGATTTTAAGATCCTCTTTCTCACATATAAAGCCCTTAATAATCAAGCTCCATCGTACATCAGTGATCTGATTGTTCCATACGTTCCTAACCGAGCACTTCGCTCTCAGACTGCAGGTTTACTGGTGGTTCCCATAATTTCTAAAATTAGGATGGGAGACAGATATTTTAGTTATCAGGCTCCTCTCCTGTGGAACCAGCTCACAGCTTTAGTCCGTGAGGCAGACACCTTGTCTACTTTTAAGACTAGTGTAACTGTCCCTGAGACAGTTAAAATAAAGTTGTTTATTTCAAATGTTTCTGTGATAGAGAGATGCTTAATTTGGTTCATTTAATTACTAGATAAGATGATAAAAGTGTAACATTGATTTAAAAACATGTCTAAAATATGTGATTAAAAAATATGGGTTTGTTAAATATGTAACGTGCTGTAAAGTTTGTATGAGGTAGAGTTTGTAATGGTCACATGATCAGAGTTTGTTTGACAGCGCTACCATAGCAACCATAGCATGGATACATAGCTACAGATGTGTCTACAGCCTCGACGTTAATGTCATTCTGCATGTGGTCCAAGAGGCGCACACGGTATGGTTTCATGTATAATGTTTGTATAATGTTGCATATGTGTTCTACACTGTTAATGAGAGGACATTTTGTGATTCATTATTGCGCATTTTCTTTCTGTTCTGCTTGCACGAGACTGTTTATGGACAATGGTATGAGAGACTGATAAGTTCAAACCGTTATTGTGTAAACTTTGTGTTTCTTCAGTTTTCACGGTGTCTGAAGATAATAAGAGAGAGAGAGAGAGAGCCAAATAAACATCCGAAGACATCAGTATGATGCGTGGCCATCCTTTGTTGGACCCCTGTAGTTACAGTGAAAACGTACCGCCAACGTGCCTGGAAGTTCAACGTAAGAAGCAGTGAATGTTTCAGAAGAAGAAAAGAAGAAAGGTTCGTGACAGCGCAGTGTGTGTGGTTCGAGAACACAGCGGAAAGGAGGCTTGCAAACTCGGAAAGAGGAAACATCATTATTGGCGCTTTGGACGGCAACGACCACGACTTCACCAATAGAGGGCGACATTGACCATCATAAACTACAGCTCTGCAACCGTCTGCAACTCTGCCGTTGCACACAGCAAAAACTGTATAATCCTCCGTCTTCAAGGAAAAGATAACGGCTCTGCAGTCAACGTCAGGTTGGGCTGTGATATATCCACAGCTGTTAGTAAAGTTTGGAGAGGTCTATTAATATAATAATTTATTTTGTATGAGAAAGGTACTGAGCTAAAGGTAACCAGCCTGTCATAGCCAAACTGTTCCCCTTTAATTTACAAGTGGTGTTGTTTAAAGTGTTCTAATGATGTTTAAGAGTTCAACTTAAAGGAAGACTAACAAGGGGTGTTGTTAAGAAAAATTGTTGCAAGAATCAGATTGTATTGAGAATTATATGTTTGCCAGGATCGCATATACATATAGCAACGACTTGTTATGCAGCAGGTTTGCTGAAACATGTGCAATGTCAGTAAACACAGAAAAATCACATATTGAAGAATTCTGAGAACAAATGGATTCCCTTAAGGAAGAGCTAAGTAGATTGAATGAACAATTGAAATTACAGACTGATGATGTTGAAAGGGAGAAATTGGAGTTACTCATAGGTGATATTCATGCTAAAATAGAAATAAAGCAGAAGCCTGCCACTAATACTTCAAGACTAGAGCCCAGGAAATCCTCAAGGGAGCGAAAGTTAACACCCAAAATGTTAGAACTTAAGCAACAAGAGTTTTCTCAGAAGGAGAGTAAATTTATCAAACTATATGAAACCTGGAAAGAACAAGTTAAAGCTACACGTTCCAAACTTAAAGAAGAGTGCTCTGACCAGGAATTAGCTGACATGATGGATACTGTCGAAGGGCTGGAGTCACAAGTGAAAAATACATATGAAGATATAAGATCGCAGGCAGCCCCTTCTACTGAGACTAGAAGAAAAATTGATTCCTGCACAGCAGTAACAGCGGACTTGATGAGAATACTTAAAGTACGTATGAGCGAAGTGGGGATAGAAGAGTTTGATGCTAAGGCAGAAAATGCAAGACTTCACATGGTGCTAGACAGAGAATATGCTCAGTCAATATTTGGGACTACAATCTCCCGACCTTCAGTACGTAGCCACCGCTCAAGCTGTTTATCGGAGCAGCAAAGCATCAGTGTAAAAAAGGCAGAGTGTGCTGCACAGCTTGCTGCGAAGCAGGCCGAGATAGAAATGGAGGAGGCTATTGCTACACAAAGGCAAGAGCTTAAAAGACTAGAAAATCAGCGAGATCTTCAGGTAATAACTGCAAAGCTAAAAGCTTATTCTCAAGCAGATTCAAGTGAAGTCTGTGGAGAAGTCAAAAGTGCACACAGTGAGGTAGTCAGTTGTCCTCCGTTAGCTCCTGAAGAAATCGTACCAGAGCAAACCTACAAGAATAATAACAATGAACAACCAAACAATAACAATGAGTCATTGTTAATGCAAGCATTGCATGACACAATGGTCCTCACCAGACTTCCTGCACCTGAACCCCCAGTCTTCTCAGGCGACCCACTTAAGTTCTTAGAGTGGAGCACT